GCTTTGAAACCTCCTCTCTTCCCAGCCCTGCTTGTGGCCTGCTATAGATATTGTGGGAGATAGAAGAGATACAATGATATCCTATCAGATTTGGTAAAGCATTTAAGGTCTATTTTGCTTTTCCTTAGTGAGTGTCAGTACCACAAAGCTTCCAATGGAAAGGCTGGCATGATTTTGTTTTACTATTCCTGCAGTTACCAAGGCATTTTTAAAGGACCCAAGGCTGTCAGTGTGTGATTGGTGAACTCTGAATAAACTCCTGTGCATAGTCCCTATATGTTCCCATTGTAGCTCCTCAACCATGTTTGGACCCAGATTGGACCTAGATACCTCCCAGTGCATAGAAGAAGAGATTCTGGGCATGAGCAGAACTCAGCTGCCCAGAAAATATTGAAGTTAAACAATGAAGGACATAATGAACTTAAGTTATCTCTAGAGTTAAGCAGCAGCTGAACACGGGCAATGTGTTTAGACTTAAGATCTTAGATCTTTTCTGTGTCTGTGATCAAAGGGATTGGATAGAGAGGAAAGATGAATTAAACATTCCCCTCCAGTTAATTGTTATCCTTTTGTACAGCTGCTGGGTGGAAAAGAAAAGGGTATATGCTTAGGAGAACTGGGTTGTTAAGGCCAAGAAGGGAACACTGCCTGAGTCGAGTTGAAAGAAAGAACATACTATGATATAGCAAATTACTTTACAGGCCATTGAACCTAATGCAGCCATGAGAACTCACCTGCCTTGTAAAAGTGGGACATTTTCCTTGGGAAAGAGACTGTGAGGTTTTATTGTGCCAATAGGGTATATGCTTAGGAGAACTGGGTTGTTAAGGCCAAGAAGGGAACACTGCCTGAGTCGAGTTGAAAGAAAGAACATACTATGATATAGCAAATTACTTTACAGGCCATTGAACCTAATGCAGCCATGAGAACTCACCTGCCTTGTAAAAGTGGGACATTTTCCTTGGGAAAGAGACTGTGAGGTTTTATTGTGCCAATGCACCTGCTGCAACACCAGTGCTATATTGACTTGCAGACTTCCTGAAGATATATTAAGGAGTACTCAAAAAATAACAGTCCTCAGGTAGGAATGAAAAGAGCTCCGCAAGAGCTCTGCAGATTCTCTGTGGAGACCATGCTGCACAGGAATGGCTGCTGCCAAGTATGTTGGGCAGCTCTGAAGATATTCATTAAGGATAAGAAACTTTTGTATGAGAATGCTGTGTGCATTGCTTCCTCTGGTGAAAGCATATTAATGTCAACTGAATGGCAATTATGGATTTTGATGGTATATGCATTAAAAGGATATAGTGAGCAAATTTGTTGGAGAATCAGGTCCAGCTTGCAGCTTTTTCTCTGCTCTTCTGCAGTTTCTTGGCAGCTAGGGATGTTAAACAGATGTGGGCTTGCAAGAAACTCTGTAGGCTCTGTTCCTTTGCTCCCCTCCCTCCTTAACACCACGTAATGTAACGTTTGTGCCTATGACATGCGCTGTTGGAGTAAGACTGAATGGCTGTGCCCCTTTTCCTCCTTGCTGCCCCCACATTTCAGACTGGGGCTGTGGCTGGTCTGGCACACAAAGCATGTTAAAGAAGCAACCTTTAAATTTTAATTTACATACTTCAAAGTTTTTTTTGTGTGGGAGTTTTCTGCACTTAAGCTTCCTGATGTGCAATCAATCAAAGTCAGGGCTGCTGCAATAACATTAGGTTCAAGGTACCCTTTAGGCAGACTGAGTTGCAAACTTGACAAATATGTTTACAGCATAAACATTGTATTGACAACTTAAGCAAAATCTCTCTTGCAGCTGCATGTGCTGGAACATCCCTCTCTCCACCCACTTATCTGTGAGTATAACCTACACTGAAAAAATCTAAGTGCTTTCATTTCTCTTCACTGCTTCTTATTATGTCCAAAACCAAGCTAACAGCAACAGCCAAGAAACAGTGGGTACTATTATTGCACATTTTTCCTTATCTCCTGTTCTCCTCCTGATGTGTCTGACTGGGATACAGATATGCATTTTTTGCAAAATCCCATTTGCAATGTGGTAGTGATGCAGTCTCTCCAGGAAAATTCTTACTGATTTAGGCAGTTCTTTAGAACAGTCAGCAATGTGGATCCTTCTCACAGCCATGTGGGAAGGATGATCTGGACCCTAAAACATGGATGTGGTAGCCTAAAGATGAAGATTTCTTTCAGAGCTCTGCCACTGGCTCCTCCTAAAGACTTGAGCTATGTACTTACCATTTGCACATCTTCCCGATTTGCAAAATGGAGCTAAGAATATTTCCCTGCATTGCATAAACTCATTGAGAAGCAGGTAGATTAGGTTCTTTAGGACTGTTCATTAAGGTCTTCCAGGAGAAAGGCTTTGAAATTCATTAGATGCAATCCACTCTCTGCTAACACATACTGTTTCATGCAGAATAGTTCTCTGATTTTTTTGTTTGTTTTCTTTTCCATCCCCAAGATAATGACAAGTGAATAAATGTCAGTTCATGTGAGAAACATGTAACAGGGTTCACCAACCAGGCAAGTACTTCCCCAGAGCTACAATAAATAACGATAGAGCAAGTGTAACTGAAATTTCTGGCATCTATTAATAACTTATCAAACACAAAGATAGCTCTTAAATATAATATGAAGTGCGTCTCTTTGTATTTCTAGCCATGTGTCACTCTCCCTAGAGAGTGGGGTCAGAGTTCTTAAATGGTTGACATTTTTCAAAAGGTACATTTATTTATGCTGAACATGAATACTGGGTTACATGGCAACATAATCTGGGCATCTATACAGGATTAGTAGACTTTTCTTTTGATTTAACAGGAGTGAAATCTGTGCAATATCTGCTAATTCTGCTAAGTCATAATGGAAATAGAGCTTGTAATGGCCACGTGGATATAAAAGACATGGGTGTGCACTCCTACATTTATTTTAATAGCAAGAACAGGCTAATGTTGCCAGAATCTGTAGTGCTGGAAAGAAAACTGATGGTGAGCTATTACTACTCCAGACTTATCGGTAAGGCAAATGCCTACAAAATGGTTCAAGAAAGATACATGTTCATTCCCAATTATGCAAATAGAATTCCTGGCTTAGGCAGTTCATTAAAATCTCCTGAAAGAGTTATAGTTTGATCCTGCTCTTCATGATTTAAAATTCTGACCAGTGTGTTTTCTGAGCTTCCTTAGAACTTTTAGAGTTAGAAAAAGAGAGAGAGAGAGAAGAGTAGGGTTAACATGACTCACTTCAAAGCTTTGTTCTTCTCTAGCTACTTATGGAACTGACAGGGAGAAAGTTATATAGGTTGTTATTTATATATAGGCTGTTTTCTTCTCTTGCGTAGGCTGACTCAGTTTTGCAGCTTCTTTTAAGTTACACGACTCATTTGAGCATGTCAGAATTGCCTGAAAGTCAGAAAAGCTGTTCCCTTTCTGTCCTGCCTTTCACATGTGCTGTGCCCAGCCTGGAGAACTCAAGCTTGTGTAGTGCCTGTGCCAGGTGCCCCTGCCATTAGAGGGATAGCAGAACACAGGCTCTGGAGCACCCAGGCCTGTGACTTTGCAAGAGGAGCAATCCCTGTGCACTACATGACTGATCCTTTTCGGGGGCATTGCAGGGCACTTGTGAATTATGTTCTTGGTGAACAGGTTGCCTATTTCTTCTTGCTTGGAAGCCCTGGGAGTACCAAGAGGAGCATCAGAGGAAATGTCTACAGACTCTGTGTCAGACACATGAAAGGCTGGGCAGTGACTGAAAGGCACAGTCTCTTTGTTTTGCGAAGTGGTGCCTATGTCAAGACCTAGTATCAGCCAGAGCTTTGAAGTGGATGTGCCTGTATCTTATTCTCACAATGAGTTATTGCAAGAGATGAAAAGTTTTACATGAACTTAAAAATTACTCATGTTTCACCAGAACATGAATAGAACAAGAAAAGCTAATTATTTTTTTTAATAAAGAAAAGACAGAGCAACCATATAAGACTAAGAAGGCACGCAAAATTTCATACACAGCCCTCCTCCCACCTACTGTGTCCTCAATTCCAGCCATCCCAATGATTTTAAGTGGCAGAAAACTCAGTTTGATTGCCTCTGGGTTTCCAGGAAATTATTCTGTCCATGATCTCTGATGTGGTTTCCTACACACAGTTTCTTCAGATCCCATATCATTAAGTCTTTTGAACTTTCTCCATTTGAGCAGCATTAGCAGTTCCCCAAAGATGCAGAAGTCTCCCTTGCTCGTAGGTGATTCAACCTCACCTATTTACTGTTACTGTTTCACAGACACAGCATGTGACACAAGCTAGGAATACACACACACACACAAAGAAATAAAAGAACCTATACCATCAATTATAATGCCATGCTTGCAGAAAGGATGTGCCCTATCCATTTGAGCAGCATTAGCAGTTCCCCAAAGATGCAGAAGTCTCCCTTGCTCGTAGGTGATTCAACCTCACCTATTTACTGTTACTGTTTCACAGACACAGCATGTGACACAAGCTAGGAATACACACACACACACAAAGAAATAAAAGAACCTATACCATCAATTATAATGCCATGCTTGCAGAAAGGATGTGCCCTAATACATACTACAACAAATGCAGGAAGTGATCACGAAAGGTGACTCTGTCTCTTCTGTGCTTGAGTAATCTGGTGAGTCTGGTGCAGGCACACTGTGGTGGTTCTACATGAACACAAAAGGGAGCCCACAATGATGTGTTCTGTGCTGAGTTTTCCTACTTTTTTTGTTCCATGGCTGGTCTTCCACAAAGGCATTGAAAACATAATTCAGTTAATAATGTCAATTGACTGGACATCTCTGGCTGGAAAGGACAGGAAGAACTTGATTAGGAAGTGCTACCTGACATTAGAAAAGAGGACAAAAGTATTATTGCATTTCAAAAAATGTGAACAGGAAAAAGATGGAAGGAGGAATGTGCCAGTAGCTTCAAAATGACTGTACAGCTTTGCTTCTATCACAAAGCCTGGTGCACCATGACCTCTCAGTTCCAGGCATTTTCTTCAAAAGAGGTGGTGCAGGTTGATGGTCTGGACTTGGTTAGTGGGACCCAAAGGTCAGGCAGGTCCTTGGTTGGAAAAGTCTATGGGGAAGTATTAATCACTCAGCTTTCTTTCTGCTCCATCCCAAGCAAGGTGATCTGCAAAACAGAGGTCTGGGCATGCAAGTGTTTTACCACATGCAGCATTGATCCCAGGTACTGAGCCTACAGGCTTGAGCTAATTTGGCTGTGTGATAGGTACATTTACATTAATGTGGCAGCTCTGATCCCTTTAGAATACGGAAACTGATTCAGTTAAATTAAAAAAGAAATCTTTGTATGAATCTTGCTAAATGCTGCTGTTCATTCCCCTTTATTTGAATTCCATTTCCTTTCCTTTAACCTGCCCTCTTTATCACATTTTCTTTCTTTCTTCTGTTTATTAATATTCAGACCATTGATTTCTTTCTACGTACATTTTCACCTTTGCCATATTCTATTATTCCCATTGTACATCCTCTTTCAATTCTGCATGTCCTTAAGTGCTTTACTGTATATGAACTGTGACTCACTCACACTTATAATTGAAATTCGACCATGTTATCCAGCCAGACATTATATTTTCTTTGATGTCAGCTTCAGGTTCGGTTTTTAGGGATGCTTTTATTCTTCATTTTAAAACCTTTTTTTTCCCCAAAGATAGAAAGAGAATAATTTGATGGATTGTATACCCAGATCTATTGATTGTGCCACTATTTCTGGTTACATATTGTTTAAATTATCCACAAATAAAGCATTTTTTCCCCTTACAGTTTTATCAGGTGAAAGAACCAATTCAGAAACCAGAGCCAGAAGAATCATTAAGAGTTATAAGTGGCTCGGGAAGAGTAAGTGACTGATCAAATAATAGCCAAAAAAACCCCATATGGAGATACTGACTAATGTAACAAACCATCCCATTCTCATGTTTTTTTAGTCTGATATATGTTTATTATTGATAAGGAAATTTTCTCTGACCAAAGGATTAATTCAATTTATCCATCTCTAATCTAGAGAGGCTGGTAGTTGTAAACATAAACAAATGCCTTTTCCCACCAAATTGCATTGCTGGAAATTGTAAGAAATCCAGGTTTAGCAGTACATTCTTAGGGAAGAATTAGAAAATCAACTCTCTATTCACAAAAAAAAAAGAGACCAAAAGTGGAAGGAAAAAAAAAAAGCTTACTGCCCTAGGCATCCTTTTCTAATTTTAGTTTTTTGTTGTTTGGTTCAGTGAATTGGATCACTTTTAATGGTTCACTTAGTTGTTACTACAACAGGAAATACAGCACAGAGAAGGTGTTGCAAAATGTTCTGTAGTCACCTGAGATTTAACACAATTTTCATGCTATTCAATGGAGAAATAATACCTAAATACGCACATATAGGTGCAAATGTTCTTGGTGTTGATCATGGTAGCTCCACTGCCATATGTCAGTTCTTTGATTCTTACCTCCTTTACGTGGAAGGAAGAGATTTGTTCCTATTGCTGCAAAAATAAGTCTTGACTTGTTATTTAATAACAGTTATGCACTGAGTCACTTGACTCTTCAAAGGTCAAAGAATAATACAATTTGGTGCAATTCTTCCTAACCGGGTAGCAGAGGTAAACCAACCTGGCATGACTGTGGCTGAGCTGAATGAAGATTTCTTTTCACCTGAGGCAGCTGAGGAACTTTTGGATCTACAGACAAATAGGGTTTTCTGGAGTTGACTTAACAAAAAATACCAAAACCCCAAACATTTCAGAAAATTATAATCACAGCGGAAGAAGCTGGCATTATAGAAGTAGGCTCTCTGGCTTTGCTCAGATACATACCACATTGGATTCTTATTTCAAATAAAGCTTAAATATAAATTCTCCATTGGTAAGTATCAGCATTTGACTCTGTTTATGAATTTAATGACATTGTTTCATGATCCTGCCAGTGGTTCTTGCTAGCAATCATGCAATCTTTCTCAGTTTTTCTCCTTGGTGATTGTTTTGATCCAAGCTCTCATTCACTGAAGAATTTACCACTTAGAATCCAAGTAATTAAATGAGCATTTAATGACATTAAATAAATATTATCTGTTGCTTTCACTGGGAAGGGAGAGCCAGAAACTTATGTTATAAATGAGACCCAAGACTGACACCGTCGTCTATCTGCAAGGGCTGACAGTGTGTGTATTTGCCCATGTCTTAATGCAGCCACATATAATTCTCAATTTGCACTGAACTCAGCTGGATATGGGGGTGTTTCTGTGTGATAAATGTCTTTCAATTACTTAGCAATAAGAAGCTGCTTCCTTGTAGCAGGGACATCAATCCTTATTTGTCACCTTTGTAAACCGATCACCATGGCTCCACCAATCTGTTGGTTACTTTCTTTGGTTCATACACAAGAAATGTCACAAATATCGGTATTATTTAGTTTATTTCTGCCAACCTGAGCTTGCTTTTTGCACAAGACAAATCTGAAGGATTAATTTGTGGGGCACTGAGGTGCTGTAGTAATCTGTGGTTGTGAGTTCTTATTCAAGACCAATTTTTTGAAGAGAGAAGAAGACAAAACATACAAAGTGAGACTGAGGAGAAGAGTAGAGATGTGTAGAATGTTAGTGGTGAGAAGCTGATGCTTGGTGTTGCGGGTTTATTTCTGAGACAGCTCAAGTGCAGACTGTGGGTCTTACTGGCTTCTCTGGAAACTGACAACAGTACCACCTCTGCTATGACACTGGGATGGGGTTAGCTGCCTCTTAGTCTGCAGCAGTACCGTAGAGCATATTTGTTGGCCAGCTAAGCCACAGTCAAGAAGGGAGAGAGGTAACCAGGCTGGATGGTTACATGATCCACAAATTGCTATTTGCAGGTAGTGTCAAGAATGTGGCTGAGCTGGTAGGAGTGGTAGTGTCCTGACCTGTTCCTGCCCAGCGGTTTTCAGGATCAGGGCAATGAGAAAAGTCAGCAATGCCCTGGTGCATGCCAAAGTCCTAATAAATGATGAGAGGAATTTGGGGGGGTTTTCCCCCTCTCTAACAGTTTTGATCTGTTTCCAGAGGGGGCTGAAAAGAGACAATCAGACAGAAATAACTAGTCCCTTTATTATTTGGTCTGTCATGCACCCTGACATGGTTGTGCTCAATCTTAGTTCCACTCTGCCTTTGTTTACATGGCATGAACTCAACACAGTTCTTGAGCAGGGCCACCATGTAACATCCCAGTCCACTTGGTGGGTTGAGGAAAAGGTAATTTTGAATTACTCTGGGCAGTGCATGGGAGAAAAAAAATCAGTTCTCAGAAGGTTCAAGAAGAAATAATTTTTACTTATGAACTTTGGGTCACCTGTGTGGAATAAGAGACTTGGCAAAAGGAAAATCAGTAAACTTCATTCAAACACAGTGCAAACTTTAACTCTGCATACCTTGAAAGAACAAAGCCCTTAGCCAAGCACTGATCACAGCACTTAGCAAGTACTTAAGGGGATACTGCTCAGTAGGCTTGTAACTTGACATGCTGCAAAGGGGAAAAGAGAGAAAAAGATACAAGTAGAGTGAAAAAGATATGAGAGAGATAGATAGTCACCACCCATGGATCCAGTGTGGTCTCATCAGCTTCCAACCCATGTAGTCACCAAGGCCATTCCAGTGCAGATTTGCAGTTACCTGCTGAGGCTCAAGGGGCTGGGGGGGAGCAGCCACCACCCCACCTATGCAGAGCTCGACCTGCTCCCCTCCACTGTTTTCCCAACTGGTTGAGCCAGAAAACTTTTCCTCTGGTCCCTGACACACCTAGAACCTCCAGTTTCCAAATAATTTGGCATTTCCCTTCTGTACCTTCTTGTTAACTACTTCTGTAGTGATCTGAGCTAGACTTGAACTCCTGACCTAGATATGAGACATTTACACTGTATTGTCATCTTCTCAAAAATTGATACAACATACAGTTGACTACCAGTGTGCACAAGTGGGCTTTTGACCCTGGTTACAATCTCAATTAGTGTTACTTGATGCTCAGTAGCAGAGGTCAGGCAGTCCCTGCATTGTCATTGCATAACAAAATTGCACAGTTTGCTCCCAAGCTGAGCACCAACACCATTATCTGTCCACAGCACAAGCCTTTGTTTTCTCAGCTGTAGCCTCCTTGGTTAGAAAACCTGCCTTAAACTATAACCCAGATCTCTTTTTCTCTGTCTGAAAAATAGTCATATTATATGTAAGGAAGTTGAGGGCTTTTGAATCACAGAATCACAGAATGGGTAAGGTTTGAAGGGATCACAGTGGGTCATCTGGTCCAAACTCCCTGGTGAAGCAGGATGAAGTGGAAATGGTACATCCTGTCTAAATTTGCTGTACAGAATGAATGGTCAGGAATGGAAAATACAAAGCAACTACACCATATGATTGCACAAAATGACACATGATGAATATGCCAATACTTCCTATGCCCTTGGTGAAAAAAAAAAAACATGCAGTCTTAACTTCACCAATCTGCTAACTGATTTTACATTTATTTTGTATTTTGTATTTATGGTATTATGCATGTCCTTTGAGAAGAAAGATCATAATGTGTGAATAGACACTGCCCATGAAAAAAGAAATATTTCATTGCTTTTCTAGAATGGCTTTATGTTACCTGGAAGACAAGTTTACTTTTTTTTTGTAATATGTCATATAGAATATAGTTACTTAATTTCAAGAAACATCAGTCTCTACTGTGTAGATACTGCTCTGTCCTTCCTTTTTCATGTCCTGCAGGATGTACTGTAACAGTCCTGTGTGGGGGGTTTGCCATGTGCTGCAGACATTCACAAAGCATTGGATAATGCTTGTAGTTTCTTGGGGCCAGCTCCACTCTGAATCTGGGGAGAGCAAGCAATCTTGCTTGCTCTCTTTAGTGGCAGTAGGATTGAACTGGCACAGCAGTTGCCATCACCACATACAAACCAGACCTGTATCTGTCACATCTTGGGCTGGTTAGCACAACAAAAATAGCTCTTAGCCCTATCAGTGAATCCTGTTGCATGCCTGTGATCACCTCTTCTGGCCCCTGCCCAGGCTCTCTGAGCATCATTGTAAATACCTTAATTCCCTGATCTTCTTCAAATGCTTGAATAAATTTTCCCTTCATCTTCGAAGGAAAAACAAACCATAAATTTTTCCCATACTTTTCCTGGCTTGGAGGCAGTCAGCATTTAGTTCTGCATCAGCAGTGGGTGGGAGGTTCAGCATCTCATGACTTGGCAGAACCAGCAATAGAAATAGAGCAAAAAATTTTGGATGAATAGTTTATTCACTAAAAAAGGCAATTTTGGGTGGATGGAACAACTTGTGAATCCCTGCTGAGTAAGGTGGATACTCTCAGATGGAATTTGAATAATAGAGGGAGTGTGGTTGAGTTTGTTTCAGCATTTTAAAATGAAGTATTTCTTGCTTGTTTATTGTTTTGTTTTGAAAAATGTCCACTTTTTATTTAACACTAGAAGATGAAGTAGATGCTTCTGAAAAAAAATAGGCCAACAAAACAGTTGAGCAAAGTAATTTTGTCAATTAAAAATAGAGACATTTTATTAAAATAATTGGGAAAAGTGGGTTTCATATTCACCAAATATTGCTATTTTGTCATTCATCCAACAACCAAACCAAGTCAGTTATGTCAGCATCTTGGAACAGGCATTTTATTATGAGAGTAGTCACTTGGTTCCTGAGTGGAACACTTGGGACTTGATTTAAACCCCATTGCACCTAAAAAGGAAGGAAGGTCACCAGCCAGGTTGGTTGTCTTCCCATGAGGCCTAGCAAGGCAAGAAGAGAGCTGATGAGGGACACCAGCAATGTCCACAGGACTCACTCACCAATGACCCATTTG